ATTGACCTCGCATCCCTACAAAGCCGGGACGGAGCACGCCGGGTTCTCACCGGACCAGGCTCTCACATCACCAAGCGCAAAGCACCGTGAGGTATTTGGCGGGTGGCATGAAGGGTGTGCTGCATCCTGCTATGGGTGTTCGGCATCTTGCGCTCACTTTCTTGCGTACGGATGACAGCTGCGTATGGCCTAATATGTTTTCTGGTGCTTTCACTTCCAGAGTCAGTGGTAAGCATTGTGTAGCTGCCTCGAGGGTGCTTGACCAATTCAGCACAGCGTACGATCATCCCCTTTGCGCGGAGTGAGGGATCTTGACCCCACACAACATTATCTACACCACCATTCATGGTTACCTGTTAAGGAGTGTGGCTGCTAGCATGAATAGGGTACATCTTATTGTTGATCGGACGTGGGTCGGTCAGGAGGTATACCCTTCTGACCCCTATCCCCTAATAATTTGCCTACTCTGTGTACCCCCTGAGATGAGGTTGGATCCCCACTTCATCTCAGACCCTTGCTGATCGTCTCTCAGCAATAGCAAGCAACTTTACCATCTCAATGTGGCCGTGGACAAGTATGTCAACGACAGAACCTTCATCTATCTCTATGAGCAAGCTACCGCCCACGGCTTCACCTCCTTTACTTGGCGTCAGCGGCATTACACGGTAAGCGGGTGCTGGACGCGGCTTCCACACTGCTGTGTGTTGTTGCCACGCTTTCTTCACAACCACTGGGTTGCTTGTCATTTGGTCTCACCATCCACGAGAATCTGGACTTTGCCTCTTCTCTGCGTCTTATCCTGTAGAGATGCTGGCTTGCGATGCTTTTGCTAAGCGCCCGCGGGACTGGGACCTTGCGAACGATATGCGCCTCGGCGGTCATCGCGATGTTTTGGGCATTTTTTCGTAGGTTCGCCATGCCTCACNACTGCTGTGTGTTGTTGCCACGCTTTCTTCACAACCACTGGGTTGCTTGTCATTTGGTCTCACCATCCACGAGAATCTGGACTTTGCCTCTTCTCTGCGTCTTATCCTGTAGAGATGCTGGCTTGCGATGCTTTTGCTAAGCGCCCGCGGGACTGGGACCTTGCGAACGATATGCGCCTCGGCGGTCATCGCGATGTTTTGGGCATTTTTTCGTAGGTTCGCCATGCCTCACAAGCTATTTTGTCTGCATCGGCGGTCCATGAAGTTATTTCTGTGGCGGATACGCTCTGCATGCAGCGACCTGCGTTGCTGGCCTTGTGTAGACTAGCAGGACTCGAGATGACAGAATGCTTCCCACGTCTGCTACCACCTCTACTGCCTTCATGCCGGCGTACCGGTCGATCTCCGATTTGACTCCGCTTGCCTCGACGTGGAGCGCGTTGTGTGCACACAAATTGGGTGTCAGCCGTCCCACCAGCCTTCCCACTGCTGTGTTTCGAAATCACATTGCACTTTTTAATCGTTCACCCTCAAAGCATTCGAATTGGAAACCTTTCCACAGCGCAAACCCACAGCGGTCTTTGCTCGCACTTCGGCACCAGTTGCGGAGGAACGCCGTGCTGCTCTGCGTGTCTTTTGGTCGAAAAACCTCGTGTGTTCGTGTATGTCCTTTACTTGGAAGGGGAAGACGTTTTATCTCTTGTACTAGACACGCAAGGAGTAGGGAGAAGTGGAGCCCTCTTTGGAGTTCGAGGGGTCCCCGCACATGCAACCATTTCAAGGTGTACATATGCCCCATCTGCGTGCCCTCTGTTGTTGCCGGTAGATCTAACCAGTCCGTATCCAATCACGCGAACACCCTCCCCGGTTTGCACGCGAATGGCAAACCTAACGTGGGGCATGGATACCCCTGATCTACCAAAGGGACTCAAAACAACAACAGGCTCGAGGGAAAACCCGGCCAACCGGATCGAAAACCCTCGTCTAACACCCCAAATATAGAAAACCGTCGCTATCACGGAGGATTCCAATATGCGCACTTACAAGACAAGACCAAGGCAGGACAGATTGAACCGGTTACGCTGATTACACACCCGAAGCAACGTTTNCGTCTAACACCCCAAATATAGAAAACCGTCGCTATCACGGAGGATTCCAATATGCGCACTTACAAGACAAGACCAAGGCAGGACAGATTGAACCGGTTACGCTGATTACACACCCGAAGCAACGTTTTCGGCGTTTCTAGGCTCCAGCCGCGGGTGACGCACCGGCACAACGCTTCCTGCGTGACNACAAGACCAAGGCAGGACATATTGAACCGGTCACGCTGATTACACAGCCGAAGCAACGCTGTCGGCGTTTCTAGGCTCCAGCCGCGGGTGACGCGCTTCCTGCGTGACGTACCATGGTCATATATGCCAAGTGCTAAAACCACCACATAAAACAAACAGAACAAGAGAACACTACATCGGTAGGTTCATCAGATCCTTCCGGTGGTACTCTAACTTCTCTCTGCCAAGGACCTTGGTCAGGATGTCGACGTGCTGCTCTCCAGTCGGAGCATACTCTGCAGTGATCTTGCCCGACTTGGATAGCTCGCGAATGACATGGAAACGCGCGTCGATGTGCTTGCTCCTCGCTGAGCTGAACGGGTTCTCGATTAAGGCGAGAGCCCCCTTGTTGTCCTCAAGGACCTTGATCTTCGCCCCACTCGTCTCGGGCGCTATGAACGACAGGACGCCACGCACAAACAACGCCTCCTTCACGCCCTCCCCGGCTTCCATATACTCTGCTTCCGAGGTAGACTGAGCCGTCACTGGCTGCGTCTTGGTGGATGCACACACTACGGTACCACCTACGGTCACAGCTAGCCCGGTCGTAGAACGCCTGTCTACTTCGTCGTTAGCGTAGCTGGCATCGACAAACACGCTTCGGTCTAGACCTGACCCCCGTACGCAGGTGATGCCGAAGTCCTTCGTGAAGTTCAGGTAGGACATGATCCGCACAAGCGCGTTCCATATCCTCCCGGTGGGTGAGTGGGCGATCTTCTGGAGCTTGTTCAGAGGCAGGGCGATGTCTGGCCTCGTCAGCTTCGTCCACATCAGGCATCCGATCGCCTCCCTCACAGGCTTATCCACC